TGAAGGAGACTGACAGGACTAAAGGAGCAGATCTGATGGAGGTTAGTGATCAAGAAAAAAGCATAGGACAGTTATATAAGCTTTCAGTTCAAATTTATACTCAAATTGATTTAACTGAGAAAATACAATATTTGTCACCATGACCATGAAATTCTGTTACCCAGCTTGTTAAACATAACTACAGAGCAAAGTCACACTCTTTCTGACTGAACAAACTGAGACTGAACTGATCTATAATGTGTATGTTTGAATAATATATTAAGGACCTTGCAGCTTATCTAAGAAAGAGAAGATATCTGACATTTTCTAGCTGTTGCTACTCTAAGAGTGCATTATAAACATTTTGGGGTCATTATAAAAATTATTTTTGGAGACCATGCCCCAGACCCCCCCAGTATAGGCTTAGCCCCCCTATCCATAAACCTCTAGTGACACCCCTGCTTGGAACAGTGGTGAACCTTCCCAGAAGCGGCTGGCCTACCAAAATTTCTCCAGAAGTACAGCTAAGGTCAATACATGTGATTTCACGATAAGAAAGACACTGGGCTAAAATGGCATCCATGGTAGGGCTGCAAGGCACAAACCATTGCTGACCAAAAAGAATACAAAGCTCCTCTTGCATTTGCCAAAAAGCATCTAGATGACCCACAAGACTTATGCGATAATATTCTGTGGACTGCTGAGTCAAAGGTGGAACGTTTTGGAAGACATGGGCCCTGTTACATTTGGTGTAAAGCCAACACCGCATTCCACCATAAGCACATCATACCAACAGTCAAACATGGTGGTGGTAGTGTGATGATCTGGGGCTGCTTTGCTTCTGCAGGACAAACCATGAATTCTGCTCTCTATCAGAAAATTCTGAAGGAGAATGGCCGTCCGTCAGTTTGTGACTTAAAGCTCAAGTGCAGTTAATTGATGCAGCAGGACAATGATCCAAAGCACCCAAGCAAGTCCACCTCTGAATGGCTCAAAAATATGAAATGGTCGGGTCCTGACTTAAACAGGCAGTTCATGCTCAAAAACCCTGCAATGTAGCTGAATCAAAAGAATTTTGCAAAAAAAGTGGGCCAGAATTCCTCCACGGTGAAGTAAAAGACTTATCGCAAATGTTTGATTGCGGTTGTTGCTGCCAAGGGTAGCACAACCAGTTATTATGTTTGGGAGGCGATTAGTTTTTCACATGGTTGATATAGGTTTGAAATACATTATTATCCAATAAATGGAATGGTCATTTAAAAGTTGCATTTTGTGTTTATTGTGTTGTCTTTGTCTTATATTAAAATTTGTTGGATGATCTGAAACATTTAAATGTGCCAAATTAGCAAAAATAGAAGAAATCAGGTGAGGGGCAAATACTTTTTCACTGCACTGTACCAATGTCAAATTAACCTCATATAAAATATTTCCTGTTCATATAGTCTGCCAAAATATACGGTTGTTTGGTCTATTGATGGTCACCAACACCATGTATGTTTGGTAGCTGTCATGTTATCTGCAGTAGCCTCCAGGTTAGCCCATACATTGATCTGCCCATGCTTTTTTGCACATGTATACTGTTTCCTTCTTGGCCTTAGAAAAAAATAAAGTGTATGATAAAGTTATTCACTGGGTCTGTCTGTCAACCTCCATGGTAAAAAGTATTAAACTGAAAAAAAATCTTGGTTAGTCTCGCAATTATGAGAAAGGTATATTTACTCTGAAAGGCTGGGGAATTTCCTTAGCTGAGCATTTCCTTTGTGGTGAAGACGTTAAGAGAAAGTTTCTTTGAACTTTTTGCTTGGCAAAGATACAGCTGTCTATACCCTAATCTATGCATACCAGGGTAGCTGATTTAGCAAAATTGGGCTACTGATTACATTTCCAAAGATGCTTATATCATTCAACTGAAATTTAACACTTTGTCAGCATGTGGGAGCTGCTAAAGATTATCTTTTAAAGCTCATCTACGAGCTTCTCTTACTTAATCTCTTGCTCAAATTAGTCATTAGTCAATTGGATACATTATGTCTATTTTTCTCTGATAGAGCTAGTGGCTTGTCAGTGAAAGACACTGTAACTCATGTCTTACAGCAGTGCAATTTTCCACTTGCCCCAAATGTAGACAATCAGCCAAGACATGTTTGATGTTTAAAGTTTACATCTTCAGGTTTGCACTGGAGCTACAAGGCTAATGTAGCTAACAAGTAATTTAAGTTTATACCCTTCCAATTAGCATCAGGCAAATTGCATTCCTAGTTTGTACGATGTTTATTGTGGAAATGGTCAAATGGTTTAAGTACCTTGAAACTTACTTAGATGATAAGCTCAGTTTTATTGAGAACAGACAATATTTCCAAGCAAGCTAATTATAGATTAAATTTTAAGATTTAATTAGGAGACATAAGGGCTTTGGAGTGAGTAAAAACACACTAAAAACCTCCAGTAGTTTAGTTAAAAGTATTGTTGTTTTTAATATTATAGCTTTGTTTGAGAACTGTCATAGATACAAGCAAGCTTGCTAGGACCATTAGAATGGCTGGCAAACTTGTATTTAGGCAGCATAAGAAGCCAGATGACCTGTAAAAGGCTGCTGTACATAGGAACGCTCTTACTGTAGTGCATGACTTTAGGGTGCCCATAACTGAGAAAAATCTTTATAAGAAATCTTTTATTCTCACCACCATTGGCCTCCTTAATCATTTTATTGATGTTTTATGTTTGCATGCTGTTTGTTGAGAATATTTGCACCTATTTTATGTGGCACTATGATAGAGGAAGAACAAAAAATAGTTCTATTTTATTCTATTCTATTCTATTCTATTCAGTTCTAATTCATCACGCACATACCTCAAATGGCGTTGAGTTGTTCTACAATAGACTGCTTAGTCAGTGATTGCTCATTAGAAAATGCTGTTCTGACAGCAGGTAGAATGGTTAATTGTAATTCCAATTCAGAGGAAGAAAAAATCTTTACTTAACTGATTAGACCTGGAATTCCCAAAAACATTTTATCACTAAGATGATTCTTGTAGAGTGAGCATCACACTGAACACTCTCTCTCCCAGCTAAGATTATCCTAACACTAAAATGGTTTTAAGAAACTGAGCCTAGAATGATTTTGTTTTCTCAAAACTAACTTTTTGCAGTATGCCTGACACTAACCTAGTTTAGACACAACTGACTTAATATAATAATGAAACACCATTAAGCAGACATAAGGTATGTTCACTGTTCACTTTGATACCCTCCCCGTAAAAATAAAGAAACAAAACTGGCCACCAAGCAATCCTTTTCATAAATGGCTCTTAGAACCAGAATGAAGGGCTTGATAATCATAGGTCTTATGTCCCATTATTAGCACCAATCTACAGTATTAGCCCTAATCCCTAATCTTTAGGACACAGACTCTGAGACTCTGAGACTCGAGAAATTTTAGAACTGGATAGTCTTAGAACTGGAGTCTTAGTCTTAGGGCTCAGTGAATGACTCATCCACAGCCCCAGCCAAAACATTAGCTCTAGTTGTTGCGTCTTGGGATGGAGGTCCAGGGCGTTGGGCCACAACTTCAACCTCTTAATGTAAAAACATCATCTTCACTGAAAATTTACTTTTCTTCCTTAAAAAGGTGTATAATGTAAGAACAGTGAACTAATACCATATTTCAATGAGAAAATATCAAAAAGAGTAACTTGGGTGAATGAATCTGTACTTGATGTTGAAAACATTTCAAACTGAAAAAGCCTCCAGAACTTCACTCCAGAAGTGTCTGAGTGTTATAGAACAGCCAGAAATGTTATGATGCATTCAGTTATCTTAAAAACAAACAGCTAAGCCTAGATAGGGGGTGCACAATTCCAGTCCTGGAAGGCTTTTGCTCAGTACAGTATGGTGATTTTCCAGCTCGAAACCATCTGATTCAACTGTTATTTGCCAGGTTTATTGGATCTGTTTGTCTAGAGAGTAATTAGACTCAAATCACCATGAAAATCTAGTAATATCTAAGATAGGGGAATTAATATGACCTGCTCTTTCCCTGACGCCGCAGTTTACTTCTTGCCTAACAAGTTCTTGAACAAACCTGGAAAGTACCAGGGTCTGGAGTTGTACCGCTGTTGTTGGTTTCACCTGTGAGTGGCTGAGAAGACACAAGAGTTCCCCTCCATCTACTGCATTTGGCCACTGACCACAGGAACCTCAGACTTAGGTCTTTTATTTTGGTACTGAGAGCATGTTGGCATGAAATGAGGTCTTTTAGTGTAAGTATGGTGCTTCTACCAAAATAGTATGAAAACAGCTTTTTCCATTTAAAATCTAAACATGCTTACTGCTTAACACTTTTTTTGAATGTTTTAGGTAGTGATGTATCTATATGTCATTGCTTTCTGCTTTGCTCCATTTCAGACAAAGGAACACAGATAACTGAAGTACAACCAGAAAACTAGCCTTTAGATATATTTTTTTCTGTAAATACACCGAAACAGTCAATATTCATGTTTCAAACAATAACCCAAGGACATCATAATGTTCAACTGTTTTTATGCTTGCAGTTGTACAAGACCATTTTGAACCCCAAACTGGTAGCAGTTTAATGCCCCAAGGAAGCCTATAAGACTGAATCTTTGTGTCTTACCTTACTTTAGAAGCACATATTTCATGACAAAACTTTGAAAAACAGAAAAAATTGTTACTTTGAACATTGTACTATTCCTTTGAATTATGTAAGACCTCACTCACAATAATACATGTGTGAATTTTAATTCACTCTTACCACTCTGCATTAGTTATAAAAGGCATAAAAAATGGTGCACGTTAAAGAAAAACATTTTTGCTTCCATGTTGAATCATTTCAAAGTCAATCAAAGGTCTGAAAAACAAATATAAAGCAAGATTGCCGTCAACTTCCTTCCAAAGAATTTCTGTGATGACGACCGTTTTAAAGGCTTATCTGCGTCATATTTTGCTAAAATAACTGTGACTTAATGAAAGTCTGATATTGAGAAACATATTTCCTGTTGTTAGACAGCTTCCTGTGGATGAACACACAGAGTGAAGGAGTGAAGGATTTGGATTTCAGAGAATGGAGTTTGAAGGAACTAACTGGCGTTCCTTAGTAAGTCTTTCCACAGTTTAAGCACACTGTAAATGTATTGCATGTTGTCCATTTGTTGTGCCAGTGTATCAATGCAAAGATTCAATGCCAATTAAAGGTTGCCCTGTAACCTTACACTCAAGGCAAAATCCATTTAAGAGCGTTTATTTTACTTAAAATTTTAAAAATGTTCTTAGTTTCCTTTACAAAAATATTACTCACTAAGAATCATCCATGTAAAAGGGTTCTTTAGGGTGGTTCTTCTGTGACATCATTTTTAGAAATCCTTTTTTTTAAGACTGTTCGTTGTATTATTCCATTCAGAGAAAAGGTTACTCATGCTGGACCCTTCAGGAACTACATGGCTGATCGTGGAGGACATAGTACAATAGGGTGAAGAGAGATGCAACAGCATGCTCAGCTATTTGTGCAAATGACTTCCTACACATGTGATCACTCCTACACATATAATTTCAGAGTTATGCAGATATAACACTAAAAGGTAAAAGGTACCTAATAAACTGTCAAATTAGTGCATGTAAATCGTGAATTGCAGTGAACGATTATTGCTTCTGTATCAAATCTGCTGTGCTTTTTGTCATTTTGACAATCAGTGCTAGAAGTTGAATGAGCTGCATTGTACATGAGATTATATAATGAGCTCTGGTGGAAAATCGTATGTGTTAAAACAGGTGAATATATAGTGTACAAATGAAAAATGTGGGCTTGATAACATTTGAGTAACATGCTAATTTTATGACTAGCATATGGGGTAGGACTACAGATGAAAACACAATTGTAGATGTTTTCTGTCAGTGAACTATTTTTGTGTAGTATAATGCAGTCGAAGTAGTGTAAAATGTTTACTGCGAATATTTAGGCGGTGACCAAAATGGGCGGTGGTTTCAGGCAGCTGTAGCATTACACATAGCACATGTGATGTGAAGACAAGAAGAAGAAAAAAAATTCTGGGAAATCTTGTTGCCTCACAAGGCCAGCCACGTCATTTCCTTCAATGACAAATGTGTGGTTTCAAGTCTTTAAAACCTTTTGCCGGGCTGCCGATCATGACTAGTTTCAACCTCTGTGCATGAAGAAATGAATGGTCATGATAGGAACATGCAGGCCCACAGATCACATTCAACATCCAGTAAGTACAACAACTACACAACAGCACATACAGCTAGTGCGCGCACACACACACATACACACACACACACACACACACACACACACACACACACACACACACACACAGTCATGGACACATGGACAATTGAATACTTTTTGATCTAATGAAATTAAGAGCTGTTATGATACCAATGTTTAAAACTTGTCTTGAGTACATAGCATGCACTCTACATCCATAGAAAGCAGGTACTCTGGTACTGACACCAAATGATGACTTCCATTGATTTTACTGTACTTGGCTTACTATAGCCAACAATTCAGCTATTAATATACTAAGGATGTAAGAGGCAATGATCTAAACACCAGAATTAAAAAGACAATCATTTTTGAACTGGTGATACAATAGCAATGCAATTGAAAATGATGCAAAAACTTTATTTTGATAACTTTGCATGTACTCATGAGATGCAGGTGCTCTGGTAGTGATATCAAGTTATGACTTCTATTGACTTTACAGTAATTTGGTTTATTAATGCCAACAATAAAGCTACCAAGAAGATGAGGCAATGAATGCCTTACAACACTTCCATGTTTTGATCTATTTACATGCATGATAAAACATAACAACCGTTTAATCCAATGCATTCTGCTCTTCCCAGTGCTCTTCCTGTTAGGTGTTGCCCTGTTGACCATAATTCACTTGGTGAACACAACAGTTCCATGCACCGAAAACAAATCCAAGATTCTTCAGAAGGGAGTGAAGCTTGCCAGGTTAATGAATAGGACCACTGCAGATATCATAAAGACATATGTAAGTAGTTCATCATCCTGATGGTTTACACGCATTCACGTTAACACATTTATTCTGAACAGTAATGTTTTGAACATAGCATGGTAATTAGCATTTGAATCCTAATATGGTAAATTGCTGTCAGGTAGGGTACTATATGCAATATGGTAATCCCTCCCATTCACAAATCTGATGTACAGTGTCTGTGGGCATGTAGGAGGTACATAAATAGCTCTGATGATATGCAGTACTAGAGCTATAAGAATTTCTTTCCAAAACCCAGATTAAGTCTAGACTAAATAAAACTCTTTAATGGGAAATCACCACTCCCACCACTATTTTGTCCAGTATTAGCTGTAAAATAGTGTGGGCTAATGTAATGTGGAAGTGGGTGTTAGTATTTTAGTATATCCTGTGTATTCATAGTGGAAATTTTGAAATCAAAACCAGAGCTTAGAAATGCTGGAAAGTCTCTTGCTACTCATGCTGACCGCTGGTTAAGGTAACTTTAAAGCCAACATTAATCAGAAATCATAACGCAGTTTCCTTCCACATTGTGACCATATTTCTGAGTGAAATATATTATTATTGAGGGTTTCCGTGCTACCTGAGCATTTTCAGCATGGTGGAAGAGGGAGATGAAACATGAAATTATTGGTTAGTTACTTTTACTAGCTTAGTGCACACTAACGTAACCAAAAGTCAGAAGACGTTCAAATGTAGAAAAAAGTCATTGCATTTTGATAGAAGATTACAGGAAAACAAGACTTTTGTCTTTTAAATGACATGATATAATGAATTTGCTTAATAAGACCAGGAACAAAATGGAAAAGGTCCATTTTGATTTCAGAAACAACTTTAATACTGCTCCAATACAATGATTTCAACTAACAGTTAAAGTGATGGTTCAGCTAAAAATCAAATTCCCCACTTACCTGCAACATAGTTGATCACAAGCAAGACATGTTTAGTGTTAGAAGTTTCCATCTTTTATTTAGCACTAGAGTTACAAAGCTAATGTTGCAAACAAGTAATGGAAGCTTATATCCTTCAGATAACATGCTGCAAACTGTATGCCTGAATTAACAATATCACACCAAGTGAAGTCATATCAAATAGAATTTGTTTTTGTGGCTTCTGACAGGCTTTAAGGTGACTGCTACACAATTTACTAAATGTACTATTTGTATATAGAATATATGTAATACATTTCACTTTTACCTACCCATTTACTCATTCATTGGATAAATCTAATCAGAATGGGTAACCAAATCCTACAAAATGTTACAGGGTCAGTGAAAACACTTCAGATGGTCATTAACACACAGCTGTTGACACAGGCTGAAATTAACTTCTGAAACTCGAAGTTACTGTATGTTGGCCCACATTTAAATTCCTTTAAATACCTTACACATTAGTTAAGTAATCTCAAACAGATTTGCTTATGTGTTCTTTTCATATTGGATGACATACCATGTACAGAAATGGCCAAAAACAGCCATAGCAGCCATCATGAGGTCAGAATTTTGTCTGGGGAAATAATCTAAATTAGTTCTTCACTTTTTCACATAAAAGTATTGCATGAATGCTATTAACTGAATAATAAGTATCCTAGATTTTAGAGGCTTAATGAGGTGTTGATGTTTTTCTCTTGTCCAGCAAGCCTATCAAGGGGACTTTGCAGAGCAGTTCTGCAAAATGTCAATGGACAATGTGCCGGCCTCCACGCTTTCTGGCCAGACTTCATCTGAACGCGTGCTTAGCATTTACACTCGTCTAAAGGAGTTCCTGCCACATGTGAAGAAGGTGCTGGAGCAACAGAGTGACCTGCAGCCCCCCTCTAGCCCTCTGCTCCCTGTCTTGTCTCAGATCAAGGAGCAAATCATCCACCTTGCCCAGAGGGTGAACTGCATTTTCCAAATCCTGCAGCCCAACATCCTCGTGCCAGAGCCACCAGCATGGCCCACCAGAATTCCTCCTGCTCAAAACATCTTTCAGCAGAAGGTCTACGGCTGTGTGGTTCTGACTAGGCTCAGTGAATTCCTCTCCACAACACTTGATGAACTGAAGTCACTCAAGGGCAGTATGGGCAAAAAAAGGACTGGAGAACTACTGAGCAATAGTTGGAATTAATTAGGGTTTGTCTGTTTTATTTATTATTTATTTATTTTTGCACATACTTTCTGTAAATATTAAGAATGGGACTACACGTTTAAGGCAATTGCCACCAAATATATTTATTACATTAATTTATTATAATATGTAACAATTGATTAAAATGTATAAATTGTCCTAGATCACTGTAAGTCTCTTTTAATATTGTATCATACCCTTTTGGGCAATGATGTAAAACAATATCTGCTTATCAAAGGGCTACTGTGGAACTAAGGGCCAGTTTTCTAGACCCAGATTAAGCTTAAACTGAGATTTTAAAGATATTTTAATGGGGAATCAACATTGACATTACAATTGAGTCCAAGACCTGTGATGTTATGTACTTTATTGGTCCTACAAGGGAAAAATTGTCATTTTGCTGCCTAACTACACTCAATTTGGGAGCATCACCAGCAGAGCAGCACCGCCTGGGGCGTGAGGGGTTAAGGGCCAAGCGCACTTCCTGGTCAGTCATGGGATTTTAACCCACAACCTTCTGGTTGATGGCTTACCTCTCCTACCACTAAGCTACCAGCCACCCCATCTGGCTTAATCCATGTCCAGAAAATTATCTCTGAATGTTTATCTCATCCAGTGATTGACAAACCTGCTTGCTTAAGTTTTCTATAAAAGTTTGCTATAAAACATGACTTAAGTTATTCCTCAGATGGATGGCTCTGACCCACAATTGCACTTTGATCAATTCCATCGAAGGTCATGTATGTTGTCACAGATGACGTGGATGTTTATGCAACAGTTCACAGACATTGTGATGTAAGCCATATTGGCTTTTGTGGTCTGTGCTTACAAGTCACTTGCCCTGAAAAATAAACTGGTGTAGCTAGTGGACTGTTGTCTGAGGCAGAGCCTTGTGTTGAGACGAGTTTAGAAGACAGGAAGCGAAAGAGACTGTGATATCAGCCCATAATGACGCATTCAGCTCAACACATCAGATAGGAAAAAAAATACTGACTAGCCGTCTCCCCTGTCACAAGGTGGGTGTGTGAGAGTGTGTGTGTATGTGTGTTAATGCATTTGAATGTTTTAAGCCATTTACTGTTTGTTCAGTAGATCAAATTACCATCCTGGCTACTGTGAAAATTTTTGCTTCATTGTGATATTAGAAAGTTTTCTCATGTAAAATATTTCAGTTTAAAACCCCATCTGAGCATTTCATTTTTGCATCTGGATATCTTCTGGACATCTGTATATATCTGTACATACGTACATAAGTTTTATCAGCACACAACAATACCATAACTGTTTAAAAGTCAGTAGCTTCTGGATACAAAGCATGAATCTGGAAAACGCATGCAGTGGGGACAGTGGCTTTAGGAAAAACTTCATAATGCCCTTTCCCCCAGTCACATGTTTCTACAAAAATGGAAGCAGGGAGATCTACACTCCGGCAAGTCAGAAGTTCCGCGTTTAGGCGACACTGGGGCTTTGAGAGAGGCAGCAATGCTGACAACAGTTTACCAGAACTCTGTGGCAAATAGAGTCCATATTTTCTGTGTATTTAATAAACTCAAGCCTAGATTTCAAGGGAGTATATGGTCACTTTCCATTTTTAAATTATGCTGTTGCTTGTCCCCAGCATCATGATTTTGACTTTTGGGAAGATGAACGCACTCTTTAGCAGGTTTGTGCATTTATATGCCATGACGTCCACTTGATCTTATTTATGCATCAATTACAGATGCATACTTTCGCAGCAAATGTCTAATGCAGTGTTTCCAACCCTGGTCCTGGAGGCCCCCCAGCCCCCCCCCCTTGCATTGTAGTCTTTTCCCTGCTCCCAACACACTTGATAAATCCATTAATCTCATTTACAGCTCCTTACTTAGTTGAGCTGGGTGATTTAGAGTAGGGACAGCACTAAAACATGTTAGGCAGGGGACCAGGGTTGGGAAATAATGTGCTAATATTTATTTTATATATGTGTAGTAGGTCACACTATTACTGTTCATTTTTTGTCATGTTATCAAAGTTTTCAGTAATAAACATCTGACTGATAGTAATAAACATTTTAACGATGCTAGCTAGTTGTGCTTTATGAACATTACAACAAAAGGAGAACATAGGAAAATGCTGTTTTGAGCTACAGTACTGTGCAGAAGTCAGATATCATGCTTTATTTGTTTGATTATCAGTGAAAATGGCAATTAAGGAGAAGTTATTTACTTTTCATGAAATACTTCTGAGGAGAATAGATGTATGACACTTGCATGAAAGTCACTTGCAAATCACTTGCAAAACTGGAAATAAAAAAAAAAATCACTAAAAGATATAGAGAAAATGGGACTCCTAACAACTGTGTAAGACCTGGTAGACCAAATGATGCTACCAAAACTGTCACCATTAGATGAGCATTATTTACAGCTTTTATCTTTAAGGATAGGAGAAAATCAAGGTCCACTCTTGCTTCAAACTGGAAAAAATTGTGTTTCTGCACCTCCTTCCACTGTGAGAAAACAACTGTACGTTATGGGTCTGAAACAAAGTATGTCTGTCAAGACTTTGTTACTGGGAATAGGAAAAAGACAATAAGGACAAAAATTTGAACTAGAACATTGACAGGATATCTGATTGGACATCTGATATGTAGAGTTTTATGGACTGATGAGTCAAAATTTGTAATTGAGGTCACTTGGATTGTGAAAAGCAGAAAACGCAAAAAAAAGCAAGTCTCCCTAAGAAAATTAAAGCTAAAACCTAACCTTCGTACAGTACCTCTAAGTAGAGGTGGAAATCTTTAGATAAGTCACCAAGAATTTCTATAAAGTTGGGATATGACTCGGTAATGGATGCTTGCTGTAGTTAAAAAATCACCCAGTCTATCCTGTGGTGTCACATGCAAACAAAATAAATATCATTTGAAATTAACTTTCTTTAATTTACCAGCTTTCTCTAAATTACGGTATTTTGATAAAAATGAATTTGAGTTTCTCATTAAGTTGAATGAATTTCTCCTCTAACATAACAAAACTATAATGTTTAGGTGCTTATGAAATCTTCAGTAATTGAATTACAGGGGTTAGGTTTTTTAAAGAACTTGCATGAAAGAAATCTACCTGAGATCCAAGTTAAAAAAAAAAAGATATGTCATTAAGTTTCACTAAAGTAATAGTCTTTCAAGACACATACTGTTTAGAACTGATTGCAGAGCTAAATAGCACATTTCCAAGAGCACCTGGTGATATGAGAATGTGCTTTACATCAAACTTGTGTCTGTCTCTACATGGGATATTCTTTATTTCTGTAGAAATAAAGGTGGGGATTTATGGTACCGTGGCATGCTGCTTACTCTCAAAGAGAGAGAGAAACGAGAAAAGACTGTGTTACGGTGAAACAGAAAGGAGGGCACTGGGTCTGCCAGTGGCTGAGAGATAACGTGGTTAGGGGACCCCCCTGCCCCTCAAAAAAAAAAGAAAACAAAAAACTGTAAAAGATCAAACCAGGTGCCTGTGTGAGAACAGCACTTCATTTCTTCAAAGTGCGTACTGTTTTCTACTTCACAGCAGCTAACAAGAAGTGTTTCATATAAAACAACATCAAAGGCCTGATGAACATTTTCTAAGTATTACAGGAATTAGTTGTGAAATGAGGGCATGGTGTTCACATCACAACTCAGGTTGAGCTTCAGTTCCTGTGTTTCACAGTGTGTTGAAAGTGACTGAAGACAAAAGAGAAATTCTAACTGTTATTCTGTATATACAGTGCTGTGAAAAAGTATTTGCCCCTTTCTAATTTCTTCTATTTTCTGCACATTTGTCACACCTGAATGCTTCAGATCATTAGACTACTTTTAATATTAATGTTAACTCAAGTAAACACAAAATGCTGTTTTTTTTAATGATGATTTCATTTACTGCAGGGAAAACGCTGTTCAGCCCTACCTGGCCCTATGTAAAAAAGTAAATGCCTTTCTCCTACTAAATCAGCCAGTTAACATTGATGACTCCCAGACAAACATCTAAAGAACTACAGGCCTCACTTGCCTCAGTAAAGGTCAACATACACAATTACACAATAAGAAAGACACTGGATAAAAATGGCATCCATGGGAGGGCTGCAAGGAGCAAACCACTGCCAACCAAAAAGAACACAAATGCTTGTCTCACACTTGCCAAAAAACATCTTGATGACCCCCAAGACTTTTGGGATAAGATTGTATGGACTGAGTCAAAGGTGGAATTTTTTGGAAGACATTGGTCCCGTTACATCTAGCTAAGTAGCGCGCTACTTTTTGTAGTTAGCTACAAATGTTTGTTGCTAATAGCTGTAGCCACTACAGTTTTATGAAAGGTAGATAATATCTGTAGTGCCTACATATTTTCGTGTAGCTATAGCGATAATTTTCGCTAAAATTACGCTACAAGCTTCAGGCAATCTGCGCAAAATCTGAACCACAGAACACGGTCGTTAACTGGGCTGGTGGCGATTGTGCAATCTACATTTTTGTTGGATATTACACTTTTGGTTGTGTAAGTTTGATTGTTGGTTACACTTTTTGGTGATCTTTTTGTATATTTGCAGCTTTTCAATTGTATGTTTCTTTCTGGCACATGATTAAATGCAATGTCTTGTTCACAGTATCAGTTGGGCTTGTTTGGTGTATCAGGTGGAGATTCACAAACATTCTGACAGTCACGCTTTGAAAGTAGCTAAAAAGTAGAGCACTACTTTTCAAAAAGTAGCTAAAAAGTAGCCACTACTTTTTCTGGTTAGCTACAAATTTTGGTAAAGTAGCTACAAAGTAGCTAACTACAAATTTTTCAGTAGCTATTCCAACCCTGTCTAGCATCAAGCTAAAACCATATTCCACCATAAGAACATCATACCAACAGTCAAACGTGGTGGTGGTAGTGTCATGGTCTGGGGCTGCTTCGCTTCTGCAGGACCTGGACAACTTATCATAACTGACGGAACCATGAATGCTGCTCTCTTATAGAAAATCCTGAAGGAGGATGGCCGCCTGTCATGTCGTGACCTAAAGCTTGAGCGCAGTTGGGTTATGCAGGGCAATGATCCGAAGCACACAAGCAAGTCCACCTCTGAATGGCTCAAAAGAAACAAAATTAAGGTTTTGGAGTGGCCGAGTCAAAGGCCTGACTTGAAACCAATTGAGACGCTGTGGCAAGACGTTAAATGGGCAGTTTACGGTCAAAAACCCTCCAATGTAGCCAAATTAAAACAATTTTGCAAAAAAGTGTGGGCCGAAATTCCTCCACAGTGATGTAAAAGGCTCATCTTGAATTATCGCAAACATGTGATTGCAGTTGTTACCGCCAAGCGCGGCACAAGCAGTTATTAGTTTACAGAGGGCAATTACTTTTTTACCTGGGTGATAAAGGTTTTGAATGATTCTTTGTCTTCAATAAATCATTTAAAACCTGCATTTTGTGTTTAGTTGTGTTGTTGTTATCTTATATTAAAATTAGTTGGATGATTTGAATTATTCTGTTATTATTTTGGTATATGATTTTAGATGCATTTGAATTGCTTGATTCCATTATACAGGTAGCCTTTACAATAAATGGCTGTCTGTATGTCTGTGTTCCAAATGAACAGAAATCACCAGCATTTTTCAACCCAATCTCTATCTGTCCTATGCTCTGTTACCACAGAGAAAAACTTTATGTGTTCCCTGCACTTAGAAAAGAACAAAAATCCAGCTGACTCAAAACTAATAAAAGAAGCCACTGGGCAATTGCTAAATTCCACCAATGTTAAAAAATTTTACTAAACACGTGAATTTAAAACAGCTATTTAAGTTTTATGCAACTTCTGAACACTGGAGCAACAACAAAAAGCAGTTCCAGTTACCTTTGCTTTCCCTAAGGTTCTCTTATATCCATGCATGATCAGGAATTAACTTAAAAAACTCTGTAACTCTGTAAATGAAAAAAAAAAAGCTAAATTTACAATTATGACCCAAACAATTCATGAGGCTTTATATGTCTCTCAAAAACATTCACTAATAGCATTCAGCAACCACCCGGTGGCTTCTACTGTAGATGTATTTTGAGCCAAGAGGTGTTCAGTTCTTTTCTAAGAACAGGGAGGCCTTTTGAAACTACTGTCCATAGTAATCAACCATATTTATGCAGATGCAGCAAATTCTAGATTCGGTTAAAATGCTGGAGTATTCCTTTAAACTATTTAAATAGTCTTCTTACTGTACAACTATGAAATTTGTTTAATTTATTGTTAACATCACCAATATGCACTTGTACTTCATGTTTCTCTCTCTCTCTCTCACACACACACACATACACACACACAAATTGTAAAAGCACCATTTGCATTAGAATACATGCAAATAAACATAAATACAGTAAAAAAAAAGGAAGAAGAATTTCTTGTTTTCATAAAAAAGTACTTTAGATTTTGTGTGCAAGTTTCAAGAACAAAGTTTGGTTCCAGATTTCTCAAGCCATCACAGGTATTTGTTAAATTTTTTTACAAGTGCACCCGATTCAACATAATTAATTATTAATTAAGCCAAGTATTAGACGATAACAGTGAGACTGCTGTGAGGCAAAGTTGTAAAGGGTTAAGCGAACACATTTACATATACAAAAAAATCAAATGAGCACATGAACAAATAAACACTTACTGACTAGATAATTATAAATTTATTATAAAAATATTTTAAAATATAATTTTACTTTTTGCATCATAGTACTATATACACATACGGTATGTAAATATGTATATATGTCTGTAAATACGTATGTACGCATACACCGTTTGTAAATAATTATACAGGGTGTCCCAAAAATTGACATCAGTTCACAGTCTAATAACATAGCCAATTCTCCCTCAAATGATCTCAAATTTTAACAAAATGTGTAAAAACTAACCAAGTTTAATTTTTAATGTTTTTTTTTCAGGTTGAAGAATGGTGTTCACTAGAAATGAAAAGGCATTTTGTGTGTTAGAATATGCTCAAACACAGTCAAACAAGAGTGTGCATTTTCGAGAAAATTCTATAAAAATGCACCAACTGGAAAGCAGATTTGGACATGGCACAAAAAAAAATTCAAACAGGAAGGCTGTCTGTGCAGGGCAAAGGGATCTGGACGACCACCAGTATCGGAAGATATTACATTTGTGAAGCTTTGTGAAATCGGTTATAAAATCTACATCCCTCTGAATTTCTTGTTCAAATTTTGATCAATAAATCTTGTATTGTTCAACACGAAGCCTATTTAATTTTGTTTGTTTTAATTTTGTTTTTGGGACACCCTGTATAATTATTTACAAACGGTGTATGCGTACATACGTATTTACAGACATATATAGGCAACAGGACACACAGGATATGTTAACATATGTTAACAAAACATGTCACATATATATATATATATATATATATATATATATATATATATATATATATAATGACTATAAAGTTGAATTGACTTCTCACCCACGTCCTTATTCTGTAAGCAGTTATTTGATATTACTGACCTCTGCTGGTCATCAGAAACAAAAACAGCTGAAACTCACCAAAGAAATGAAGACTCATGAATTTGTAAAGAGGTTTTTGAAATTATATATTAATATGAGAATGTAAAGTGCATACAGCATACATCAGAACAATAATGGCATTCAGCTCTTCAGCATTTAAAGCATATCTTGTTATACTTCATATGAACACATGGATGATTCTTTATTGCTATTCTACACCTGACATGCCCCTGAATGAAGTACCTGTGTTTGCATCAAGAGAAATTGAACTATTAAAGGCAGTGAACACACATTCAAATGAGTTCAAATAAATCTACTCATATTGCTTAAAAGTGCGAGGATTGACAGCATCAGATAAGTTACCAGTATGAGTTGAGTGAACTTTGGTGGTATACAGTGGTGCACATGCAAAGTCTACACAAGTCTAAATATCAACAGACATAATGGTCCGTGGACTTAAACATGCCAAACTCATAGTGTTGTGAATACAAACTCTGTGACTGCACATTAGTTCATAGAACTACAGCTGCACAACAGTTCTTTGCCAATTTAATGCTACAGATATAGTGCAGATAAAAGTTATGTACCTTTGAATTAAACTTTAGTTCAGCTGTCCACCATCACTTGCAGAGAATCGTTGTATCCATGTTTAAGAAGCGAATGTGCATTCTTGTTTCAATTTCTATCCCTTTCAGAATCTGTTTAAAAGACATTTATTATCAGATTTGACATGACCAGTGACATCTCATGTCATCCAGTATGTTTGAACTAGTGCAGGTTTTGACTACATAATCTCTTCAAGAAATAATTCATAAATAATTACATTCATGAGTAATTACAAATTAATATGGATCATTCTACGAAGCTGCTTCAAAGTGAGAGTTATTACCTATTTCTGACTTTTTTCAGACTCAAAAAGGTTACTTAATTGCAAAAAATGTGTGTTTTGGTAGTGACAATTCTTCATGTTACACACTGACTGTCAGATTTACTTCAAAACAATAGCATCTAACTGCTCACCATGTGGCCATGAGGCACAGGGATATAGTCTCACTTCTTGCTCTAAGATGCATGGGTGTGGCTAAAATAAGATTCTGCCTATAGACTACAACTTTTTAATGAACTAATGATAAATCTAAAACTTTCAATTTTGCTTTAAAAGAAATCAAAAACATTTCAAAAACACTGAAAAAATAAGTCCCTCATAAATGGTGATTTTGTATATATTTAGCTTAATACTATCTCAATAAATGCCTTGGGTTTAAATAAAGCATCATTCTTGTTTTACTGTGGGACAACAGTTTGAACTAATTCAGTACAATGGTTCATACAGGAAAAGCCTACACAAGTAGCATATCATTGCTGTCACACCAACAACTTGACCTCTGAAAGGGCAATTTACTAGGAGAAGCAACCAATGTAAAGAGATTTTATTCCAAGTCATTTTGGACCATTTCTATTGGTCAATTCATGATGAAATGGCATTTTAAAATGGTGTAAAATATTAACAACTGAAAGAAAAAGAGTTACAAAGTTTTGATGTAACAGCAATGATTTAAAAATAAACAATAAATATAAAATGAGAATGAACAGACAACAAAAATGTACACACCTTCAAAAAATGCTCAAATGTGATCCCTGCATAAAATTCATCTGGACCCTGCAGAAGAACATATTTTAAGAATGCTGTGTACAGTCATGATGTTTTGTAAATTACAAACCAGATGTTTCAGGTCCTTCTCATGACAAATAAGAGCAAAACCTCCAGATGGCCAGATGAACCACATTCTACCTAGGCCTGTCACAATTATTGTCAGCTTGCAATTGTTTGGGCTGACTGCAATTATTTACACTGACCACAATTATTTTCAACAGTCGTGAGATTTCGCACTCATGCTTGTGTCGCAACAAAAAGAATGTAGATTGGGTGTTTTTATATGTTGGGTTGAGGCAAAAGCATATAAAAAAAGAAAATAGAAATCACTTTAATTGAGACCCAAGAGTCTTACGAAAATAAAAGTTCTAACTTCTGACTGGTGCCATAACACCTTTAGAGGGCAGCGGTGAGTAATATTTGTTTATTTGATGTATGTTATTAACAACTTTAGAGTGCATCAGTGAATAATGTTTGTTCTTTTGATATTTGTTAATTACACCTTTAGAGAGTAGCGATGCATAATATTTATTTATTTGATGTTTTTTAATAATACCTTTATAGAACAGTAGTGAGTAATATTTGTTTATTGGATGGTTGCTCACAGCTTTAGAGGGAAGTGATAAGTAATGTTTATTTACTTGATGTTTATCTGATGCTTTCAGATCTGTATGAAAGCAAAACTCCACTCTTTTCAAATCAAATGCGAACCACTTACATGTGTGGTCATACATATTGTGGCCATTTGACCCTAAAGAGAATGGTTAGAATTTGTGTGTTTTTTTCCTCGACAGTGCACATATAACTGTCATCCTTCAGTCCCGACAGTGTGTCAGCAGTGGCTAAATTGAAGTTTGAGCCAGTAATAGCTGTGTTTGTAGAGTCATCGTGATTTAAATTCTGTTATGAAATAACCTATGAGCGTTACAGAGCCTTACCCTATACCTTGGATTTTCCTTAATGAAAAAATAATTGCCATGTAACTATCATCTGGTCTAGCCTCCAATATTACTTGATAATATATAACGTATCACTATTTGGCAATATTTTGGTTTCCAATCAAACTAACGGAGAGAACCACCATATGCCAACAGTGTAACATGTTGTCTGTGCAGAAAACAGGTTATTAGTAAGAGTAATGCTACCTGTTTGTATGTACTGGATGCACTGTCCAGCTAAGTACAGTGTTGTGAAAAAGTATTTGATTTCTTTCAATTTTTGCACATTTGTCACACATGATTTCAGATCATTAAATTGCTTCTAATATTAAACAAAGATAACCCAAGTTTTGTCCAAAGACCTAACACTTGACAATTTCACAAACTTGCTTGAATTTAATTAGTGACCTAGAATATTTTAATAGTGACCTTGAATATTTCTTATTTATTTTATTTGTCGTAACTTTTTTTTGTTTTATTTTTACAAATTCAAAAACCTTTTGTGTTTAGTTGCAGGTTTAAATGAAGAAACCCCAGATTTTCTTAGACCTTTGGGCCCCACTATGCCTTTTTTAACAAACCATAGTACAGAATGTTTGTATAAAGCTGATGGCTAAAAAGAGGCAAAACAATCAATAAAAAATATATTTTGCATAATTTCTGCACATATTTAACTACAATATTTAATATTTGAGGCTCAAGTCTAGTTCAGAGCAAAGGGTCTTTGTGATGAAATTTGTGCTGCTAGTTCATTTTGATATGTACATCTGGCCATCAACGCCTATGACATCCCTGTGTTCCATTTTCTGTGTAATGTGAACACCTACCTGGGAAAAAAAACTTTAATTGGTACAAAGCCTTTCCATTAGTACAGAAGATTCTTCACACTCACACACACACATCTCACTTATAGAAATGATCCTTTAAAGAACCCTCCATCAAATAGTTTTTAAGAAAAACTAAAAATGGCTCTCCTATGGTATGGCTCCAAAGAAACTTTTCTGACACCTTTATTTTTAAGTGACCTTGAATATTTCTTAGTTATTTTACTTGTCGTAACTTTTCTTTTTTTTATATTTACAAATTCAAAAACCTTTTGTTGTTTAGTTGCAGGTTTAAATGAAGAAACCCCAGATTTTCTTAGACCTTTGGACCCCACTATGCCTTTTTTAACAAACCATAGCACAGAATGTTTGTACAAAGTTGATGGCTAAAAAGAGCTAAAACAATCAATAAAAATATATTTTGCATAGTTTCTGCACATATTTAACTACAATATTTCATATTTGAGGCTCAAGTCTAGTTCAGAGCAAAGGGTCTTTGTGATGAAATTTGTGCTGCTAGTTCATTTTGATATGTACATCTGGCCATCAACGCCTATGACATCCCTGTGTTCCATTTTCTGTGTAATGTGAACACCTACCTGGGAAAAAAAACTTTAATTGGTACAAAGCCTTTCCATTATTTATTTTTTTTTTTACAGAAGATTCTTCACACTCACACACACACATCTCACTTATAGAAATGATCCTTTAAAGAACCCTCCATCAAATAGTTTTTAAGAAAAACTAAAAATGGCTCTCCTATGGTATGGCTCCAAAGAAACTTTTCTGACACCTTTATTTTTAAGTGACCTTGAATATTTCTTAGTTATTTTACTTGTCGTAACTTTTCTTTTTTTTATATTTACAAATTCAAAAACCTTTTGTTGTTTAGTTGCAGGTTTAAATGAAGAAACCCCAGATTTTCTTAGACCTTTGGACCCCACTATGCCTTTTTTAACAAACCATAGCACAGAATGTTTGTACAAAGTTGATGGCTAAAAAGAGCTAAAACAATCAATAAAAATATATTTTGCATAGTTTCTGCACATATTTAACTACAATATTTCATATTTGAGGCTCAAGTCTAGTTCAGAGCAAAGGGTCTTTGTGATGAAATTTGTGCTGCTAGTTCATTCAGTTGTTGATATAATGACATGCATAGATCATTGATGTGACGTTATTGATTAAGATGTACACATGTGAGGCGTGTTCACACTTGGTTCAACAGTGAATCATCATGGTAGAAGCAACCACTGAGCATGTCGCATTTTGATATGTACATCTGGCCATCAATGCCTATGACATCCAATTTTGGATAAAAAAAAAGATGATCTACTGCTGTTCTGTTCTGCAAAGCAAGTTTGTAAATGTAAATGTAAGCAGTGATGTATGCCAGAATTGAGGACCAATGAGTTTAGAGATGTCATATATGTTAATATTAGCATGTATGTATGACTATACTAAGCTTACTAAGTAATATTTCTATGAACAATATATGCATTTTAATTGAAATCTCCTGCTCCCTTATACTTTCCTTCCTTTTGCTCTTGCATGGGCAATTAATCAATTTCTCTTCAGCATTCTGAAGTGTAGATACCATACCATGCGACCCATTGACATGCTGGCAACCTCCAGCATTGCAGCATCTGCAATGCCCTTGGCCGTCTCCCTCCCGAGCGATCCACTCCGAGAGAGTAGCTCCTCTACCACCTGCAGGGAACAATAATACACATTTAGATGCCAAAACATTAAGTGGTAACATAGAGATTAACTGCTTCCTTTCCAAATAAAATAATCAATAAGCTGTTATTGATTCAGTTGTTAAGTTTAAGATTTAAGTATAACGATATTGTATATTACAGGCAGTCACATGTACACTGCTATACACATCCCATCTGGATTCAAAAGTTTTAAACCACTGTTTTTAATAATATAATACCAATTTGTTGAATGTACATGTTTATAATGATATATATATATATATATATATATATATATATATATATATATATATATATATATATATTATGCCACATTAATGTGGATACAAGCAATTAAGGAGTCTTACATGTCTGTATTCTTCCAGTGTTATGGTCCCATCATTATCAGTATCATGCATGTTAAACAGGACTGTTGGAAAAGAAGAAAAAAGAACATAAAACATTAATGTGCTGTGGGGGCAGAGTCAAATGTCCACTGCAGAGAAGAGACACTCACAAAGAAAGGCCTTGGACAACACTGTTTGAAGTTTTAATTCAGCACTCCCTGTGTTCCATTTTCTGTGTAATGTGAACACCTACCTGGGAAAAAAATTTAATTGGTACAAAGCCTTCCCATTAGTTTTTTTTTTTTTTACAGAAGATTCTTCACACTCACACACACACGCATCTCACTTATAGAAATGATCCTTTAAAGAACACTCCATCAAATAGTTCTTAAGAAAAACTAAAAATGGTTCTCCTATGGTATTGCTCCAAAGAAACTTTTTTGACACCTTTATTTTTAAGAGCATAATTCTGTTGAAAGTGCAGTGCATAGGATTTAGGGAGATCTATTAGCAGAAATGGAATATAGTATACAAAACCATGCTTTCATTAATGTCCAATCACCTGTAACTATGAATTGCTGTGTTTTCTCCCCCTGTATTTCGCACCTTGGCTATAGCACCGGAAGATGTAGAAAGAAGAAGAATCAGTGGTTGCTGCAGGTGCTGGCCAACCATTTCCAGTTGTGAGAAGTTTGAGAACCCAATTTTTGACAAATAAAGGATCATACTTATTATTTGGCACAAGAACAAACAAGAGAGGGTGAATCCTCATTGTCAAAGAAGCAAAAATATAAAGAAGCAAAACAAAATCAGGACAGGCGACAGCAGAAAACCACACAGCCTCTGTAGATTATACTACATGCTTGCAAAGGGAGGGGTGAGGGAGGGGTTTTCAGTTGGTTGTAATCTGTAACATCATTGCTAGATGCCACTAAATGTTACACACTGCCCCTTTAAGTACTGTAGATGCATTCTTACACCGCAGTTTCGCCCTCCTTAGTTCTTCTCTCTGCTCCTCCGTCATATGCGCTGATGGTGGTCTAAAGTAGGACATGACAATGAGGAACTCCTCAAAGCCAATCTCTTGCACTGGGCCTTCACCATCTTTCTGGAAATTTCTGTAGAGGCAGAGCACAACAGTCCAGATTATAAATGGCTCAAGGTTTAAATATATGTAAATAATTTGCCTTTGTTCATCTAAACTAAAAGTTAACTGATTTTTTTATTCAAAGTGTTTATCTGAGTTAAAAAAATCCAGTTAAACAAATTGTTACCACATAAAGTAGTGTTATTAGGTTGGACTGACAAATCATTTTTACAATGTAGTAATTGAGCAGTCATGATCAATCGAGTAATCAGTGTTTTTTTTAAGCCAAACTATACAAATGGACTTAAATGAACGATAACAAAACAAACAGCCTTTGAATTTGAATAGCCTCTGAATTTCCAAACACCTTCATGTAAAAAGGTAAACTAGAAAGCCTTTAAAGAGACATCATTAAAAATTAGGGCTGTAAAGGGCTCCCGACTGGCGCGACCGTCTAAGCGTTGGCCCTCGAGTTCGATCCCTGGTCATGCTACAGCCATCCGTAGCCGGGAGTTTAAGAGAACACAATTGGCCTCACTCTCTCTGGGTGGGTAGGATGGCCCCTCCTTCTCCCCCCAACACCTAACGCGATGCTAGTCAGTGCAGGCGTCTGTTAGCTGACATAACAAAACTGGCGGTTGGCGCTTTCCTCCGAGCGCGTTCAGCTGTCCAATGACGTTGCGTGAGCGGCAGTTCGAAAAGAAGCGTTCAGCTGTCCAATGACGTTGCGTGAGCGGCAGTTCGAAAAGAAGCGGTGGTTGGCTTCACAGGTCTCGGAGGAAGCCTGTGTTAGCCTTCGCCCTCCTAGCGCTGGTAGTATCGTGTGATTGGTGGAATTGGCGATGACTAAATTGAGGAGATAATTGGGTAAAAATTAAAAAAAAAAAATAGGGCTGTCAAGTGACAAAAAATGTAACTACAATCAATCATGACTTGTGTAGTTTATTGTGATTAATTGCTAATTTTTTGGTTACATACAGATGAAAAAATAATCTAACTGGAACAAGAGAAAAGAAAAAAGTTTTATACTCTCACCAGTACGTGCAACAGTCCTCCAACTCCTTGGCTAGATTTGCCCTCTCTCATGTGTCCTGGTGATGACTCATTTTATGAGTCCAACAATCCACATTATGTTTTTCAGACTTTCGGCCTTTACTATGTAAATCGGCCTGCGTGCTGTGGCTATCCATTTAGCAATTGCTACCGTTAATTTGCTGGAGGTTGACGCATCCATTGTTTTCTGCCAAACACTGTGGAGTGTGGTTTGCATTTGCATATTACAGGGCTAACGCTGTTGGCTTGCATAAGATATTGTAGGCTGGATGTGATAACTAAGCTAAGCCTGACAGTAACTACTCACAACCTTAGTTTTATCAAGCAAGCTGCCTAGCTAAGTTTTGAAATGAAACTTCCCATTCAAGGGGCATTTCTCCATCATTCACCAATTTAAAAAGTATAGAGCGACTTCTAATACAATCTGATTCACTTAATTAAGTGGCAGACATTCTATTTCAACATGATTTATATGGTCAAAAAGAGCCTGCGTTATTGGGACTAATTCTTTAAACTGCATTAAAGTGAGACTGTGTTAATGTATTATTATCACATTAACTTCAACAGCCCTATTGAAAATATATAAAACATAAAGTGGCAGAATCATATTTCATACACTCTCAGAAATGTATGAAACTGTCACTGGGGCAGTGCCTTTCGTCAGGGAACATAATTATACCACAATCCACTGAAATTACATTTTGTAAGTTGTTTTGACTCCACACACACCCCGTCTACTGTAACAGTGTAATGCCAATTGGTAAATTAATCATTCACATTTTCAAATGATGAAAATTTACAGAGGGGCACTAATTTTTAAAAAAAACACTTGTCTTACAAACCTAGTTCTGTTTCTTAGTAAAAAAAATGCTAAATACTGTCATGCAAATAACTTTTAGGCTGACTCATTTCAAGTTGTAGCACTTCTGAAATAAGGAACAAGGAAACATCACAATTTGTCAGCAAGAAAACCACAGTTTGAACCATCACTGACCTTCTGTCAAAGAAAGCCTCTACAATCTGGGATCGAATGGGGTTGCATGCTAGGTCTGGAATTGTGCTGAGATCATCCCGCCTTCAAAATAAAAAAAAAAAAAAACCAACCAGGTATCCTTCAGATAAAGCTTCAGTGCTTCAATGTTAAAAAGTCATAATATCATAACAAAATATACAGTGTTGCTAGAATGTTTGTAAACTCTGTAGAATTCTCTGAATTTCTACATAAATTGGACCTAATGTGATCAGATCTATCTTCTTAAATTACTTAAATTAAGATCTAATCCCATTTTATGTCAACCTTATGCAGCGTTCACAAACTTTCTAGTACCACTGTATTATGACATGTACGTCCAAATTTTGATAGTGTACATAGTTATATTATAGAGATATTTTGGGCCTTTCTTATAAACTGAGTGAAGCCATATACTTAAGTAATACAGAGTAAGATTTTGTAGTTAAATGAATGCAGGACTGGTTTGCCCTATGACAAAAAAAGTCAGAACACCAAAATAAGGAATAGTTTGTACAATACACTTTCACGAAAGTGGAGAGACTACTTAGGGTTTGCCTGTGGGAAATGTTCTACAGAGACAAAAAAAAGCAAAAGAAGAGTTGGGCATTTGGCATTGGGTAAAATTATCCTACCGTAGAACATCACTGTTGTGGCTTAACTGCTTGAAGCGATTATGAAGAATCTCAATCTGCTCCAGTGAAACTGGTAGATGAACGACAGAAGAATTACAGCATTATTTTGTGTGGCCATTGTCATTAGGTGGCAACCTTCACAACAGAGCATGCTTTAACAAAAAGTTTGCTGGTTTAACAGCCTTATCCATAACCACTCTTCTCACAATTCTCCTAATCTACTATTATTGAACTCATACATATTTTACAGTATTACAGTACTTACATAAACCTGGTCTTGGTGAGAAGTAGATTTGTTGTCCATTTGCATAATGATAATACACATGTTAAATTCTCATACCTGATGAACACACCCCTTTATCTATATAATATATGATTATTTTGTAATTATGTTATTTTGTAAGCCATGCTTTTTTTCACAATTATTACTGAATGTGGTGTGATGTGTGGCCTTGGAAGTTGTATAAGCAGCAAATTATACTTTTTGTTGAACGTTATCTGTTCTCTGACCTTTTAAAGACTATACATGGATTGTTATTTTCCAAAGTACATTTTTGCTGTTGTCCTTTTGAAACTATAATTACTCGATATAATCGATAACGACAGTCCTAGTTTATAAAGAAATCCCATCAACTGCGTTATTCAGAGTTCTGCTATACCCTTCTGTAATAAGAAAAAAGGTTCAAAGGCCAATAATCCGAGCACGATTACAAAGCTCCTGTTACGTGAAGGATGAAAATGGAAACACTAGCACCTTATCTTTGTCATTTGTTCCACACAGCTGCCTGTTATAAATATAACTAATGCTTCCTGGCTGAGTTTCAAAGGAAGCATTCACCATTGCCAACAACGGTTACAAATGACTGCAGCCTGCATCCTGACTGAAACCAGTCGAACTGAGCTTCCCCAAACACCCAGCGGTGTTTGTGATACGCTTATTTCATCGCGCTAAATCGTTCTTACGTCATTTTTCCCGAGAAACTATAGTACTTACAGCCTGTCTTTTCAGACAAAATGCGATACTGATGATCGTCCGGGACAGAATGAAATGCCCCCATTGCCACTGAGCTCTTCCTCCGTCTTCGGCTGTCAGATTACCATCCGGTGTTTTCAGTTTCGTGGACAAGCGCCGCCTGGTTTGGTTTTGCATGCACATGCAAATTGTAGATTACTGTCTCTCTGAGCGAGTTAAAATCATTTCCCCGAGGTCCTAGTGCAGCGCTGTCTTAACGCCGTTTTTTGGCTATAGACGAAGTATGTGAGCCGCCCTGGACTGGGCGGAGCTATGTAGCAACGGGCATCAGTGGTGGAGGTGTCAGACCACCCGCCTGAGCATATGCAGAGGTGACACTGAGTTGCCACCAGCCTGTGAGGCTGTGGAGGGGATGGAGCTGTGTAACCCCAACTCTATGAAGTTGAGCAGGGGGCAGAACTCAGTATACTCTAGTTCCATTATCTCAGTAACATGTTCTCAAGTACAGGTCTCACTGAGTTGTTCCTTCCTGTGCATTTTCAAATGTCAATACTTTTATTTCTGCTCAAGTACATTAATGCAGAAAGCAGATGAAAATAAAAATCTTCCCCAGAATGGTGTTCCAACTGGACATCTCTGCCGATGGTTTAAGCTAATCAGAGAAGCCAGGCAAATACAACAAAATGCTGGAGAAGATTTTTTTAAAGGACGGTAATACATATTTCCTTACAGTTTAGTCCTTAACATTTACTGCCTAATTCCCCTTTTGGGTTTAATTCCACACCTCTTCCAAAGCTCTTGCATTATTTTAGAATAAAATGGTCTCAAAAACAGAAGAATAGAAACTAACAAACTTTAGTTCCCATGGTGATGTACTCAGAAGTTCCATGGCAGTTCAACAAGTCACTCAGTACTTTTTTTGGCCAGGTACTTTTGTGCTTCTACTCAAGTTGTTTGTTTTGGAAAGGTACTTTTACTTGAGTCAATATTTCACCAAAGAAAGAATATTTTTGCTGGTGGTTGGGTTTAAGCTATTCCACATACCAGTCACTCTGAGAGAGTTAAATCATCTCCCCGAAAGCCTAGTGCAACGTATGTATGCTGCACTAGGACCTTGGGGGAAATGATTTTATGAAGCTGTGAAGGGAACAGATATGTGACAGGATGTTAAGCTACCAGGGGGTAGAACTTTCTAACCACAGGCCTGAGAGGCTGAACAATGAAGAGCTTTAGAACCACCAGCCTCTGAGACTGTGCAGGAAGCAGGACTTTATAACCACAAACCTGGGGGGTTGAGCAGGGAGTGGACCCGTAACCAGGATGCTGTGAGGCTATGTAGGAGGCAGAGCTTAGCAAGAAGGCGGTGCTATATAACCAGCAGCCTGCGAGGCTGTGCAGGGAGGCAAGCTGTATAACCGCAGGCCTGTAAGCAAGGTTGGGCAGAATACTTTGGAAAAGAAGTGATGGCTGAGTACTGAATACACTGTCCTAAATGGATTCAGTAATGTATTCTGTTACAACACATAAAAAGTAACATATTCAGAATACATTTAGAATATATCTTGGTAAGCAATGTTTCACTTTACTAATTCACTGTTCTTTGCTGTCACTGATAGGCAGTTTCCTTCAAGTAACCATTCTGTTAACATGTTTCATAATTAGCTTATTATTTAAATGAAGATGTTATTAAAACATTTTTCTTTTCAATTCACTGCAGCTCCCACAACCCCCTGAATCCAGTGCAACACCAATGTTAAACATATCAATTGCAAACATCTCCACTACTGAGGAGATTATTAGCTTGATCATCCCTCAAAAGAGCTCAGTAAAGCTGAAATTAATAATTGGCTCATTACCTTGTTTCATTAGTCTACTCAGGCAACAATTCGTCTAACAAGCATGTTTGCTGTGTGCTATACACATAATGATTAAACAACCATTGATCATGTTTATTTTGAAGATTTTAAAATTTAGTATTAAAGTATTAAAGTATTAAAAAAAAAATCTCCTAAAAATGTAAAAAAAAAAAACTGTATTCTGAATACTGCCTGTACAAAATGTAACTTGGACAGAAAACAGATGCTTAATTTCTGTATTCTGAATATGTATTCTCAATAATTGTATTCCATTACATCCCAACCCTGCTTGTGAGCCAGTGCAAGAAGTGGAATTGTGTAGCCACTAGAACGTGAGACAGAAGCCTGTGTGACAGCACAGTGGCTAGAGCTTTATAACCAGGCTGTGCAGGGTGATGGAGGTGTGAAACTACCCAACTGTGAGGCTGCGCAGTATAACCACAAGCTTCATAACTACAATCCTGTGAGGATGTGCAGGAGGAAGACTTTTTACCCATAAGCCTTTGAGGCTAAGCAAGGAGCAGAGCTGTATAACACCTAGTCTATAAGTCTGACCAAGGAGTCGAGCTGTGTCCAAAACCGCATTCTACAGTACTACACATACTGAACTAATGAATGAACTCCTAATGGTGGAACAATATTTTTGACATGCTATTTAGTATGGTAATTTGCGGTTTGCCCAGGTCTTTTTAACCATAAGCCTGTGAGGTGGAGCAAGGGCTCAGAGCTGTATGACCCCCAGCCTGTGAGGCTGTGCAGGGTGTTGGTCTGTGCAAGGGGTTGGGGCTTTATGATCCCAAGCCTGTGAGGCTGAACAGGGCAAGTGTATCTGCAAAGTGTGTACTGGCCTGCGGCATTCATTTATAATGAATGCCTCAACAAATGTATTGAGTAGCTCAGCTCTCAAATAATTCATGAAACAACAGTATGGCCTCCTGGCAATTTGGCCATGACTTAAAATAAGTTTTGCATTAACAGATTGCTTACTGAGTAGACCATGTTCTTTGTCTACGATGCTATATAGCGCTAATCATCTTAATTAGCCTCCATGGGAGACCAAAATAAATATTAAATGGATAATTCAAAATTTAATTAATCTCCGTCTCATGTCTCATCACACTGGGCCATGTTGGTAAAAACAACCTTAAAATTTTAATAGTGCCTTGGACAAGCCAACACACCATGCATACACTACTGGTCCAAAAGTATTACTTAGTTAATTTAATTACTGTAAAGTGTGCCCATTGCTGACACAGGTGTCCAGTTGCGCACACACAGCTTGTAGCATCTCCATTGAAAAGCACTGCTAAAATAGTGTGACACTCTGGAGCAGTCACAAATGAGCATTGAAATATTTCTAACATTTAGCAGACACTTTTTTCCAGAGCAGCTTCAAAGTGTTTTGTTGTCCACTCAAAAAATACCTCTAGCTAGTGCAAATAGGCCAAGTTCGCCTAAGATAGTATCAGAACCAAGAGTCAGTGCTGACGCCCAGACACAAAATAACACAATACAAGCAGATGGGAACAGATCTCTGTGAAATCATCATGCTTGTTGCATTTAAAAAAAAGCCTGCACACAAAAATTTGTGTTTTTAAATGCTTAAACTTAATGCTTAATCTCCTCTTGGATGGCTTATTATGATTAGTAAGACTGATATTTGTATCAATTTTCAACATTGTTATCATTTTATTCCACTGAAAACAAAAAAGCCTTTCTCAGTACATCCAAAAGAGGCAATTCGTGGGACACTTCGTAGCATCTTACCTTTGTATGTCACAAATGAACTTGAATATGGTGACCATTTACAATAGGTTGCATGAGCCTTTGCTGCCAAACCAGTGTCAGCTCTCATTAAGGGCAGCAGGAGCAGCTGAGCCAACAGGAAGAAACAGAATTTGTTGCTTCTCCCCTGTTGCCTCAACCCTCATGTCCCACTGCAATGTCACTGGTTGAATGTGAGGCGTGGTGCGGCCTGTGTTGCTAGATGTTAGCACTAGAAACTAGCATTAGCATAGCAAGAAGGCCTAAACAGCACAACCACACAGGTTCATTCTGGATCACTGAAATGTCACAGACGCAAGTTCAGAGAACAAAGACTTAAATCTCTGAGGATAAGGCAGTGTTTTTGTATGTGGAATTGTAAGATTAAGCTAATTTAAAATCATATCCTTATTAGCACCAGAGGCTATCATAAGCTTAATGAAAAGGCTAAATCATCAGCAATTCTGACACACTAATGCTGCACTGAAGCAACTGACAGTGGGAGCTTTTTTTCTGCTACATCACCTGTTCAAACATACAGACAGTGTGCAGGGTAGTGGTAGAAGGTGCAGGGCTTAGAAATGGGTCAACAAGGGGGCTTTATAATTTGCTTTGTCCATAGATCTTTACACTCTTAGTGAATGTTAAGATTTAGGCATGCTCCTATGCCATTTCAGTAGTTTCTTGCACATAGCAATAATACATAAAAATGTAACAATTTATTAGAATAAAAATATTTTTGATGATTTCAATGACTTTAGGGGTCTGAAAGCCTAACAATAAACAAGACAAACTGAAAAACTGAGTGAATCGACCAGTGGAACTAACAATGAAATCAATCAATAACAGTATGATTACAATAGGTGGAACCAATTTAGCATGAATAAACATCACTGTAGGTCTTCTGGAATTCCTAGATACTATGATACTAGATACTAGTCACTGACTATGACTAGATTTCAGTCACTTGTTAGAAATGGAAAACAGAGGCAGCTTTATGCCAGGCATCTTTACTGAAAAAGTCATTGTAAAACAGTTACATGCAAAGTAAAATATATTAATACGTCTGTTGCAAGCTTCAGTTGTTGATGTTTATTCTATAATGTTTAATCTAAAACACCTAAAAGACGTTAATATGAATTGTTATATTAGTGCTAAAATACCACTAGAATCCCATAGGGGCACAAGCAGAAATGAGCATTGTCAGAGATTTTTTGTTTTCCTCAAACTAAACCCCAGTACAAATATTAACAGTTTTCTACTGCAATGCAATTGCAATGACAAGACATTTTAGTTAGTGCAGTTACAAGACTTTTTAATAAATGCATGAGTAGTGCTTATTTAAAAGCATTTCAAAGAGATGAGCCTTCAGTCGGCATTTGAAGGCAGTGTGGCACTCAGCTGTTTGGACATTCAGGGGATGTTTGTTCAATCATCTGGATACTAGGACAGAGAAGAGCCTTAATGCTTGTCCTCCATGCGTCTTAAAGTATGGAGGGTCAAGTTGGGCTGTACTTGAACTTGATTGCCATCATGTAGGGAAGGGCTGGTCTTCTAGCTCTCTGTTAATATTCTTTATTTTAGAAGAAATATTGGACGAGCAGGTGTCGACAAACTTTTGGATATGTAGTGTATATTTGTTTATTTAATAGTTAATTAGCTAT